TCTTCTTCTAGTCAAAACAAAAATTCTCTAAATGTTCTTCAGAGAATTTCTTTATATTGCTATAAGGAAGTTCTAGATTTGGCTTTGTAATTCCTAGAGAGAGTTGTCACAAACCCGATAGCAAATAGTGGGGACAAATTAATTTCCAAAAAAGTGAATCTATTCGCGTCAAAGCCATATTCTAGTTTTACTTAGTTTTAGTAGTATTTTCTAACACTATATGCCTAGGACTAGGGCTACATATGAGTTGAGCCACTTGCTCACGAGTTGATCGCGAGCAGATTGAGTGGAGTACGAACTAACCAAGTTGAGTTCGAGATCGAACTTAAATTCAAAGATACTCAACTCATTAGTTTGCTAACCGACTTGATTATATATATATATTAATAATAAAATTACATATATGTTCCTAATATTTTATTATTTGTTAAGAAAAAACTATTTCATTTATTTTGAAAAATAAAATAATTATTTTTTATTTCTTAAATTTGAGCTCGAGATCGACTTAGCTCGATCGACTTAGCTCAAATTCAAGCTTGAGCTTAAGCTCGACTTGACTCAAATTTGAGTTCGACATCAAGTTTGAGTTTTACATTGAGAGTTCATTGAATTTGAGTTTGATAAAATTAAGTCAAGACTCGATATAACTAGACCAAAACTCGACTCGATTTGATTTGTTCAAAACCCTAGCTAGGGTGAAAAAAACCCACTCCCAATTTAGGTTATAAATGTTAGCTTAATAATTGCGTTGGGTTGGTTTGATGATTCAAGTTATGAATGGGGTGGGTAAAATAGTACTCATAGGTACAAAATTAACCTTTGACTTTGAACTTTTTGCATAAGAATAGTATTTGATTTTACATTTTGTTTCGAATGAGGCTTCATTTTTTCACTAATAACTTGTTTATCACTTCTAATAAATATTGAAAACAAGTTTACAAGTTTGTTACTCTTTTATTTATCAGAACTTGTAAGTCCACTTATATGGCGAAATGGGTTTAGGTACAAGTGCTTGTAGAATTCATGGCTTGATGAAGAGGTCAGCTGGCTGTATTTTCAGCAGCCAGCTAATATGCGACGGTTTTTCTTAATTGATGCAATACTGTTCCTGTCTGCAAATTCTATCTCCATTGCCTTCGGTCAATGTTAAAAGGGACAGAAAAATGTCTATTTACCAAAGAAATCCAGAAACCCCCAATAGAAAAAAATTTAATTGCAAAATGCCTCTTCCAAGTATTACACTTTGCTCATAACTCTTCTTAAAATAAAAAAAAAAAACTCTTCTTAAAATAAAAAAAAGAAGGAAAAATTCTGCTCTAACTAGGGCTGCTATTGAGTCGAGTAGATCTCGAATAGTGCACTACTTGAAATCTACTCGAATAAAAATATTTGAGTTTAAACTCATCGAATTCTTCAAAGTTGAGTTTGGATTTATTTTACCTTATTCGAACTCAAATTTGAATTCAACCAAATTGAATTCAATTGACTTTAGTCGAGCTCAATCAAGTTTAATCAAATTCAATTGAGTTTTGAAGCTTGATTTTTTTAGTAAATTTCATAATTTTATAATAAATAATTAAAAATGATATTATAAATACACTACTCGATAAGGTTTGATGAAAACTTGAGTTTTGATTATTGTTATTCAGACTCGATTCGATTACCTTATCAAATAGTTCAAAACTCGATTACCTTATCACATAATCTTTGACTAAATTATTTGCGAGGCCAAGTCGAATAACTTGATTAATTCGACTAGGACCGTTGACAAATAGCCAGAGGGGGTTCTATAAGTTTGCATACTTTTTTGTCTTTGATTTCGAGAGACCTTTTTCATCAAAACCAGAAATTTGAACCCTCTATTCATTCCTGCAGTCTTCAACTTTTTGCATTAAACGGATGAAAACAAAAAGAGTCATTTGACCCTCACTAAAATCTTGGAGCTTCACTTTTAGACTTGGAGATCCCATAGGTTTATGAGACCAGAGCTTTTTCTTTCTTCCTTTCATTTAAGAAAAAAAAAAAAGAAAAAACCTTGGTCCTGACCGTTAATCTTACTCTTATTCTTGTTAATATTTTGGTCGGACCGACAACAAGAAGAATGTGCTCCTAAATTCGAAAATGAGTTGCTACTTTGATCCCGTCTATTTTCGAGTCCCAACCGGGTAATTACAGCCTCGCAACATCTGAAGAATTGACCACTAGCCACTAAGCCAGTCGTCGGTCCCATTAGTCCAGACTTCGCCAAATGGCAAGCATTGGTGATTATTATACGGATCGAGAGACAGTTTGTTTTTGCGACATCCTGTCTGTTGTTTTAGATATATGCTATTATAAAAGATATGGCATCTATTCTAAATGCTTAGTTCCATAAACTCCCACCTGTCAAATGGTTTAGTGATCCAACAATTATTTTTGATTTTTTTAGTCAATTCGTAGTACGACAATTAACTATACGATGAAGCATGAAAAACCTTGAATTAATTAAAAACCACAAGGGATAAATTGTAATATAACTTTTTTTTTGTTTTTTTATCACCGTGGCTTTTCAAATTGCATAAATTTATTTTTACATAGAATCACAAGGATGTTAAATTGATATTATTACACTATTAAGAGATTGAATGGGGAAACACAAAACTACTGGGGGAAAATAGTAATTTTACCCGTTTTCTGGCCGTGGCTTCTCAAATTGCACAAATTAATTTCTGGCTATAAAAGAAGTTACACAATTTCATGCATACCACTGGCATTTGGCACTAGATCAATACATCACAGAAGCGGCAGCACATGAAAACTGAAGATGGCTAGCAAGATGAGAACATAGATGGACCAAGCAACTAGATTGAGACATAGTAGTGGTAAAGCAACCTTGATGGCCAAAAAGAATGCTGTTACTCCAGCCCTTTTGCATGGTTTGGGAATGTTGAAGGGACGAATTTGGCTATCAAACATACTTGCAAAAGCCAATACCATGGCCATTGAAGCACTAACAATAGCAGTTGCGTTTTGGCTTGCAGGGGTTAAACAGCAATTTCAGTCGTTGATGTTAGGCAGAATCCAAGAACTAAAACTGACCAGACCAGACCATCCGCTAACTGCAGAGGATGGATATTAGGATGCTAAAGTTTCTCTGCTTTGCTGATCATTAGCATCCAGAGCGGTTGGAATTAGCCTGCCTGCGTCCAAGTGGAAAACACATATCGAAAATATTTCACTTGAAAATTATGTTTTATATTCAATAGTTACATAATTACAGTAATCTGGGATGATGAAATAATTTGATAATGATAATTATGAGACAAAAAAATTTGTTTTATTGCTTACGGCACATTCTTCAAGTTGGCGGATCTCGCTCAGAGTTACATAAGAAACGTGTGCCAGATTTTCTTCTCTTTGCGCTTTTCGCATAGGACTCGGGATAATGCCTCTCCGTTTTCTCGAAAGAATGCGTTTGCATAAAACTTTTTTAGGATCCGGTGGCATAGAAATTGAAAAAATCAAATTTTAGAACTCGTCGACTAACTATTTCTTTTTGGGTAAAAAAATCTAAATGGTTCTCGAACTATATATATAGTTAATCAACTTTTGATTCTTCAACTATTAAGTGCATATTTTTTGTCCCTCAAATTTGTAAAAGGTATATTCTCCACCATTTTGACTAGAGATATCTTCAGAAACATCTTTGAAGTTCATGATAATATCACTTGATACCTTTCAAGTTTTAGAAATATTACTTAACACCCACATCAGTAAACTGGGGGCCATTAATCACTATCGCAGCATATGAATTGACAAAATTATCTTTTCTAGTTTAACACCTTTTAGGCAAAAAAATTATGGAACAGAAAATGTTTAGGTAAATAATATAAATCTTATTTATAATCAATTTGGTAGGAAATTCAATATAAGAAAACAAAAAAAAAGTGGAATTGGAAGAAAAATATATATCTCTCATAAAATGATTATTATAAGAATATTTTAATGATACAATGTTGAGATCGTTACAAAAAAAAAATGATTTTAGGAGATGTTAGTAATATTTTTGAAACTTTTGGAATGTCAAGTGATATTATTAAAAATCTTAGAGGAATTTCTAAAATTATGTCTAACCAAAAGGGTGAGAAATAAATCTTTTACAAGTTTGAGGGACAAAAATTATACAATTAATAATTGGAGGGCTAAAAATTTATAAACTTAATTATTTGAGGGCTGTCCCGATTAGGGATGGCAATGGCGCGGTCACCAGCCCCGCGGGGGGCTAATGGGGAGGGGATTGGGACGGGGGGTGGGGCGGGGGCGAGGGGAATTCCCCCTCCCCCTCGCTTAGAAACAGGGCGGGGGGCGGGGGAGTGTACCTCCGCCCCGCCACCCGCTTTAAAAAAATAAATCTATAAAATATATATGTATATAATTATATATATAATATATAATTTAATTAGTTACAAACTTATGATAATGATTAGTTATATGTATTATATAATGTCTATTAGTATATATAATATAATTGATATTATTAATTATACTAATAATTATATATGTGTACTAATACAAATTATTAATTGATTATACTAAATTTACTAATACATTTATACTAAATCTCTAATTACACTTAATACAATAACATTTTTTTCTTAAAAAAAGCACAAACACAATAATGAATTAGTGATTATATTTGTACCAAAAGTGAAAACTTGACTATTTTAATTATATTTATTTCATCATGTTGGATTGTATTCAAATAATTTTTATTTGATTATTTTTATAAGTTTCAATTGTAAAATTACAATGAATAATAATTTGATGATGTGTTAATATTTTAGTACTTGATTATTTGCTAAAATTTAATCATAATAAAATTATATAACAAATTTTTATTAACCCGCAAAGACACCCGCGAGGGAAGCGGGGCGGAACTGGGGCGGGGCGGGGGCGAGGGGAGCGGGGGCAGGGGGAGTTTGTAGGCAGCGGGTCGGGAGACGGGGGAGGGGTCCCCCGCCCCAACCCGCCCCGTTGCCATCCTAGTCCCGATTTTTTGCCCTTCTTTTTTCAACCAAGACCACCACCTTGCGCGCTGCTGCCGGTGTTAGACTGATTTCCCCGAGGGCCGCTGCAACCCTTGGTATAGAATCTACTATTCTCATCCGTCATATTTTATTTACCTCATTAGTGGTTGTAGTATTTCATTCGTCCTCTTGGCTGAGAATCTTTTCAGCTTTTATGCTATAGCCCACCAAATGCTTGATAGAATGTCATTTGAATACATATCTGAAAATTTCTTTCTTTTTTGGAAGAGAAGGTTAAAATCAAGTTTAATGCTCTGTGCTTTGAACGCGAAGTGTTTTAATTTTAGAATTGTGTGTGAATATTTTGAAGTACTTTCTTTCTTGTTTACCCATCCCCTGTTTTGGGAGATAACAGGAACAGAAAATTCCCATGTGCCATGAAACTAGAAAAATTGTACTGCATATTTTCTCTAACATTTTACTTTACTAGTTTTTTTTGGAGTAAAGATTATGTATTTGATTAGTTAAATATGAATAATGTAGTAGTAGACTTGTGGGTTGTTCTACGATCTTTTGAGCACGTAAATTCTTTCTGAATTTTGACTGCCAAAGGTGTTGTGTGAAGTAGAGGTGATAAAAAATGGAGGCATACTATCATGTCTTTGATAAAGAGAATTGACATAGGGGAGCAGTTACTAAGTTATTGTAAGATTTTAGCTGACAATATGGTCCAAGAACACAACGCATCTTTTTCTTTTTTTTTTTATATAAATTCTCTTATGATTTAATGGATAAATTATAGAGATATAACTTATAGTTGATACAGGAAACACGTTGAAGGATCCTTGAGAATGTGAGCGCCAGCCTTGCATCAAATGCTAATTATGTAAAACTAATTTACAACAATGCTGTAAACCTCCATTACAATGCTGACTTGAATGATATGTGCTATTGTATCCATGTTCTGTCCTTTTATGCATGATTAATGTACTATTACCATGACCTAATGATTTTATGAACCATATATATACTGTTGGTTTTAGTTTTGGTTTTATTGTGAACTCATAATAGGTTTTTTACATAACTAGCTTTGATCTGAAGTTAAAGTCAATATGCATCTATATATATAAACAAATTTCCATCATCTTGAATTATTTATCTGACTGAACCTCATGACCCTTCAACAGTGTTATCTTTCAGAGGGCATGATCCAACAGTAAACAATTCAGACCTTCACATCTTAGGGACAAACTCATAAAAGAGTGACCATGCCTCGAAACCTTCCTGTCACAATCTACCATTTGTCATAGGCTAGTCTACATACTTTCAAATGATAGTTAATCACTTCTCAGAGGTGTGCTAAAAAATTCTGCCTTCATGTGTCACTCTCCAAAAGGGGTGCCTCCTGCCCTATCAAATGTGCATGACTAGTAGAACTTTATGGAGATATTTCTTTCCTGCTTTAAATACGAGTCTTGCCTCTCCAGAACTGTGGAATTGATGAAGGCTTGCTGAAAGACTGGCATTTGAGGAATTGCTTCTGCTTGCATGTGGTTTTGGTCCTGTTGGTTTCAGCTTGAGAAAGTGAAGAGAAAGTAATAGAGTGAAGAAAGGGCATGGGAGGTGGACGGAAAAATTTGAAGAGGGCTGTTGAGGAAGAGACCTTAACGCTTCAACAAGGGCAAAGCATCATGCAAGTTGTGGACCTGCGGGGCTCCAATCTTATTGAGGTAATATGTCCTTTACATTCAGGGCCACATTTAATTATCAAGTTGGATAATTTGTTTTAGTTGCGTCATGCATAACAGAAGCAGCATCGCATACTGCTGTACTCTGAAATTTGTTCTGATTAGAAGGCGTTGTCCCAACTATACCGAACCATACGAACCATACATCTATAGATGGGCATAGCCGAAGTTTTTCATGTAGTAAGGCTTGACAATGAAGCTTCTATGAGTGATGTAACTATAGGTTAGTGGTTTTTTGCAGATTAATAGATATTTAGTGGTTGTTAATTCAGTTTTGAATGTATCAAAAGGTAATGGATGCAAAAGGGGAGAGATCGTTAGCTATATTTCCAGCAAAATTTCAAAAGAGCATGTGGATAAAACGAGGTTTGTTCTTTTAAATTTTTCTTGAAGTGGGGATTTCTAGCATGATTAAAGTTGAGACTTTGATCAAGTTCTTATTTTCTTGTGCGTGAAAAATTGATGTATAGGGAACTTTGTGGTGGTTGACGAGACTGGAAGGGAGGAAGCAGCTGAATTTGGTCGGAAAGTAGGTTGCGTTGTTATACGGGTTCTCTTTTATGAACAAGTACAAGTGCTCCAAAAATCTCCTGAATGGTGCGTAGTTTGAGTTTATGTTTGTTTTGTTTTCTCTTGTTATTTAATGTTTTGCGCCATGCCTTTGCAAGATAAATTTGTAACATAGTCTGAGAACCTAATGATTTGTTTTTTCGATAGTGGCCGGAGATATTACTTAATAGCAAGGGACTTCTGTTCCTATGAATATCTGCCTCGTGGACATTTATACCAAACTTCCAGAAGGTGTAGCAAAAGTGACAAAGTTAGAGATCAATATCTTTTTATTTTTTATTATAGAGATCAATATCTTTGATGCGATTGTTTCACATTCCTTTTCTTTGGGGGTTTTTTAAGGTAGTTTATTCTAGTTATTATCAATTTAGTTGTAGTTTCTATGGCTGGATAAAATTGCTCCTGATTAGGAGCTTAGTAGTGTGAATAGATGCATCATGGTGTTCTAGCTCCAACTTTCTTAGTATGTAATCCTGGAAGGGCTGCTGTTATATGTTTGATTACATCTTTAAGGCCACCCCTCCTGCTCGGAACCCGAGGGCTAAACTGACTTTCTGGGTACAACATTCACGCGCCTGCTCACATGCACGCTCAATAAGAAGGATCTTGGTGCTTATGTAATTATTATGCTTGGTGATTATTGCTTGTAACTGTGCAGGCCAGAAGTATTTAAAGCAGCAACTTTAGGAAATTCGAAGCAGGATTTGCAGTCGCACACTTCAAATATGGAGGAGAATGACAATTCAAGTGATGATGATGGACTTCCACCTTTAGAAGCCAATACAAACAGATTGAGACCTTTCCAATCACATTCAGATACAGAGTCAGCTTCAGATTCTGACTCCGAGCCCTGATGCATACTTTTTCCTATTTATTATGCATGGATCTCAAGAGATGACCAGGAAACTTCTTGTACGGATAGAGGAAAGACGTACTTCTGTCCTGTGATGCTGCTTCATGGTTGATGCTTCGCCAAGTTCGGAGCAATGCGAAATTTTACAATGTCTGCTGTATGTTTTAGGGCTTACATTCCCACATTTGAGATTTTAAGATGGCAGTACATCATCATACATTATGGTTAAAATTGGACTCATTCTGTGGTGAACCATCATGGTAGGATAATCTTTGAGGTGTTACACACACTATCAAGTGAGGATTATTTGCAGTTCATGATAGGCTACCGTGGGATTCTAGCTAGTCATCTGCTGCTGCTTGTACGTTTGTGCGTGAGAGTCAAAAGAAAAAAAATGAATGGTATACATGTAAACGGAGGAAAAATGAGATAAAATACAAAGAAATCTGAAGCGGTCCTTTCATCCCAATTTTCCTGAAAATAAGCTCTTTTCTTCTTCTTGTACTATTGAACTGTTACAATAAAATTAGCCTGCTTTGGAAAAATAGCAAGCTCCTCGTGACAAAATAAAATGCTCTATAAGTTTGGCCGATTTAGTCACCTGAGTATTCTGCAAAAAATCTTAATCAAATCCTTACATTGGTTGGGCTGAAGAAGGCACGTGTGATTCACAAATCTAGAATGTATTTCAAGGTGCCCTCGATAAAATTGAAATTTGAAAATTGAAATTTGAACGTAAATTTATAAAGTTATTGAATTTTTAAATATTAAATTTAATATATTTGATTGGATATTATTTTAAGTGATAAGTTAATAACTTATCATTTAGTTTTGGAAGCAAATTTTACTTAGAAAAATTAGTGTCATTCATCTAATTCAGGTGTTCAATTTTTTATTATCAAATACGTCTGAACATGTTAAAATCTAAATTTATTAAATTTAAGTATTCAATAAGGTTGTCAAACAGAATCCAACTTCATTTCTCTAAATTAAGGCCAAAGCCAATAAGTGATTCAACAAATTGATTGTAGAGATTGATGAAATTTTAGCCCCCAAATAAGAGTATTCCAACGGTGTTTGAAAGTCACACCTCCGTGAGAAGATGAAAACTATGCTCTGTCTAATGGGCTTGGAAGTTGGTACATGCGTTCCTACTTGTCAACATGTGTAATGAAAATGCGCACTCTAATTGGGCCGCACAGCAACAAAGTCAGTGTCCGGAGAAAAAGGAATACCTGGAGCCAATCCATTAAGAAATAAGAATGAAAGAATGAAAAAAAAAAGAAAAACTCCTAAAGGCGTCAGAGAGGGTTGAGGTACACAAGACGATTGAATTTGGAAATATTAGCGGCGGAGTGAATGGTGGAGCCTTATTTTTTTTATACTAGCAGGTTTAGACCATACCACATGCCATAAAATTAAATTTGAAACTCAAATAATGCATATGTGACATGCATTCAAAAGTTCTAGTGTAAAAAAAATCACTATTCTATACGTGCATATAAAGTTAATTCAAAGAAAAACGGCAAACAACTGAAACAAATACAATGATGAAATTTGCGTACCCTTTTTTTGCTCATTCTCTTTCGCTCTTTCTGACTCTTAATTGAAGAAGTGATAGTGTATCACCCAAAGAGAAGAAGAAGTGATAATTGTTCGTCCTTCTTTTAGTGTATCTTGGACTTTCCTCTTTTTTTATAGTTGATTTGCTATCTCTTTTTCTTTCTATTTGTTATCTCTTCTTTCTCTATTTTACAAAACTTATTTGGTTCCTTCAAGTATTTCATCCTACAGCCCAAAAAAACGAAAAAAATTATTCACTCATTGATTAAAATTTAAAAGACGACGATTTCCAACTCTTTTTTTGAGACATCGTATTTTTTTTAAAAAAATTTGCTATTATAAAAAGATGTGCCATCTATTCTGAATACTTTGATTCCAAAAATTCAAACCTATCAAGTGGTTTAGTACTAGAACAAATTTTTAAATTTTTTTAGTCAACTAGTACTACGACTATTAATTACACAATTTGATGGAGCATGAAAAACCTCAGAACCTTGATTTTGAAACGTAAAACCTCGAATTAGATTCTGATGGATTACAAAAATTGTGAAATCAATCCAACGGATAGGCCAGCACTAATAAACCACAGGCCCATAAACATTCTAGGACTGGCTACTGCAAGCAACCATGAACTACTAGTAGTAGAAGAATCAGCTGAGGCTTTGCAAAAACCTCAATTTCTATTGATGGCCAAGTCTTGATAGAAGACCTTGATTTTCTCCCTCAAATTACATATATGTTCCTAATATTTTATTGTTTGTTAAAAAAAATTATTTCATTTATTTTTAAAAATAAAATAATTAATTTTTATTTCTTAAACTTGAGCTCGAGATCGACTTGGCTCAAATCCAAGATTGAGCTTGAGCTCGACTTGACTCAAATTTGAGTTCGACATCGAGTTTGAGTTTTACATTGAGAGTTCATTGAATTTGAGTTTGATAAAATTAAGTCAAGACTCAATATGACTAGACCAAAACTCGACTCAATTTGAATCGGTCAAAACCCTAGCTAGGGTGAAACAACCCACTCCCAATTTAGGTGATAAATGTTAGCTTAATAATTGCGTTGGGTTGGTTTGATGATTCAAGTTATGAATGGGGTGGGTAAAATAGTACTCATAGGTACAAAATTAACCTTTGACTTTGAACTTTTTGCATAAGAATAGTATTTGATTTTACATTTTGTTTCGAATGAGGCTTCATTTTTTCACTAATAACTTGTTTATTACTTCTAATAAATATTGAAAACAAGTTTACAAGTTTGTTACTCTTTTATTTATCAGAACTTGTAAGTCCACTTATATGGCGAAATGGGTTTAGGTACAAGTGCTTGTAGAATTCATGGCTTGATGAAGAGGCCAGCTGGCTGTATTTTCAGCAGCCAGCTAATATGCGACGGTTTTTCTTAATTGATGCAGTACTGTTCCTGTCTGCAAATTCTATCTCCATTGCCTTCGGTCAATGTTAAAAGGGACAGAAAAATGTCTATTTACCAAAGAAATCCAGAAACCCCCAATAGAAAAAAATTTAATTGCAAAATGCCTCTTCCAAGTATTACACTTTGCTCATAACTCTTCTTAAAATAAAAAAAAAAACTCTTCTTAAAATAAAAAAAAGAAGGAAAAATTCTGCTCTAACTAGGGCTGCTATTGAGTCGAGTAGATCTCGAATAGTGCACTACTTGAAATCTACTCGAATAAAAATATTTGAGTTTAAACTCATCGAATTCTTCAAAGTTGAGTTTGGATTTATTTTACCTTATTCGAACTCAAATTTGAATTCAACCAAATTGAATTCAATTGACTTTAGTCGAGCTCAATCAAGTTTAATCAAATTCAATTGAGTTTTGAAGCTTGATTTTTTTAGTAAATTTCATAATTTTATAATAAATAATTAAAAATGATATTATAAATACACTACTCGATAAGGTTTGATGAAAACTTGAGTTTTGATTATTGTTATTCAGACTCGATTCGATTACCTTATCAAATAGTTCAAAACTCGATTACCTTATCACATAATCTTTGACTAAATTATTTGCGAGGCCAAGTCGAATAACTTGATTAATTCGACTAGGACCGTTGACAAATAGCCAGAGGGGGTTCTATAAGTTTGCATACTTTTTTGTCTTTGATTTCGAGAGACCTTTTTCATCAAAACCAGAAATTTGAACCCTCTATTCATTCCTGCAGTCTTCAACTTTTTGCATTAAACGGATGAAAACAAAAAGAGTCATTTGACCCTCACTAAAATCTTGGAGCTTCACTTTTAGACTTGGAGATCCCATAGGTTTATAAGACCAGAGCTTTTTCTTTCTTCCTTTCATTTAAGAAAAAAAAAAAAGAAAAAACCTTGGTCCTGACCGTTAATCTTACTCTTATTCTTGTTAATATTTTGGTCGGACCGACAACAAGAAGAATGTGCTCCTAAATTCGAAAATGAGTTGCTACTTTGATCCCGTCTATTTTCGAGTCCCAACCGGGTAATTACAGCCTCGCAACATCTGAAGAATTGACCATTAGCCACTAAGCCAGTCGTCGGTCCCATTAGTCCAGACTTCGCCAAATGGCAAGCATTGGTGATTATTATAAGGATCGAGAGACAGTAGTTTGTTTTTACGACATCCTGTCTGTTGTTTTAGATATATGCTATTATAAAGGGCAAAAAACCTCGGCGGCCATTAAACTATTAGCAAGATCATGTTTTGGCCATCGAACTATTTTTTGTTAATAATTGACCACTAAACAATTTAATCCGTTAACCCGTGACCATTTCGTAATTAATTGCTCTTAAGTTCTGAAATTAACATTACCCGTGACAATGTCCGGGGGCAATTTTGTCCAGGGAGCTTTGAGGTTACATCACTATGTGTAAATGTATCTGGATGCTTCTCCTCATCATCTCCTAGCTAAGAAAACAACCTGCAACTTGAATGCTTCAAAAATAGCAGGTCCAAATAACCTGGCAACCTGATCCAAAACTCACCACAATTAAAATACATAAAAAAAAACACAAAGAAAGTCCCCTTTTTTATCTTTGTTTATAAAGTTAAGAATTTTAATTCAGAACGTGATAGTGGTGAGACTTACAGGGTTCAATGATTGGCTTTTCTTGGATTTTCTTCTTCTTGTTGTGTACACAAGAACAGAGCTTCGGTGTTCTCTGTAGAATGAAGAGGGCCTTAGGTCTTTTGGAAGCAATGGACTGGTACTCAAAGTGCCCCTATCTTCTAGTTCCAGGCAACAGCTAGTGCCGTATGGGAGAGAAATAGAGAAAGTCGGAGTCTTGAACTCTTGACTTTGGACTCTCTTCTCAAAATTAAATCTCCAATATTTCAGGACACCCTCCCAAACAATATATCAAATATCTCATGTACATCAGATTAGTTACAAGTGGCTAGAATCTTTTTTAGGGAATTTTGGGGCTTTGGTTTGCTTTGCTTCGATGCTTCACCTTTTGCAGCTTGAAAGCATTGGATATCAACTTTTCTTCGAAGCAAGCAGGCAAGCGTATCTTTCATTTGCTTAGGCGGGAGCGGAGTTTGGGGGACGTCTCTGGCGGCTGCAGCAACCGGCAGTCCTCTGGTTGAACGGTGAGTCCTGGTGGAAGGGTGTGAAGCAGTTTCGGATTCACCTTCTTGGACCATCACGGTGGCCTTCCGGCGGGTGGTGGCAGTTCTTCTGGCAGCGGTGCGAGGAACGCTGAGGGATGCGACTTGGGGTTTGGCCGGCGACTTGGTGGAAGATGATGAAGGTCCGGCAACTCCTTTATTGTTCTGAAATTAGCCGTATTGGACTTTTAGGGTCAATAAGCTCACTGGACAAAATTGCCCCCGGAAATTGTCCCATGTAATGCTAATTTCAGAACTTAAGAGCAATTAACTACGAAATGGTCACGGGTTAACGGA